GCAATTATTTTCTTTCGTTGTTAGTTTTTTTTAGGTATGAGCATTGCTGTTTAGTTTACAAGACCTTAGTATAATTTCTGAGTAGACGTTTAATTAATTTATAAGATGCATTGTTAGCTTTAAGTTAGATTCAACAGCTATTTATAAATAATCTCTATAAAAGCTTACACGTGGGTGGGAAAAACCAACTAAACCTTTACTCTAGCAAAAAGATGTAAAAAATATAAAATAGTAAATAAAAATTCAAATTCAGTTGAAAAAAAACAATTTCACAAGATATAAATTAAATAATTAGTTATTCAAACACTGCTGATGAATATTTCTAACAAAATACCAGATCAAGGTCATATACAGTGTTCTTTCTGTAAAAAATGTACTCATGAAATTTAGATATTGAAGATATTGAAATTATTTGCCACCTGACTGTCCCATTTTACCCGGCCTGTGAGGTAAAAAAATCCAGATAAAAATTTGTGAAAAACAGTGAAAAAACACATTTTTACAATGATGAAATAGCTGGGAGTCTTAATGAACATAATCAGATAGTTGTTTGTTTGATATGTCTTATTTGTTGAGATATAATTGATTTGGTTTCCATAATATAACTGAACTATATAAAGTCAAATTGAACCTTCGTGCCCCGTCCTACCTTATCCGAAATTTATTTGGTCACCGTAGAAACATTTTCTTGAAATGTTAGCAGTCACTAAGTCAAAAATAAAAAAAGAATAAATAATATAATATATTCATTCTGCACGTTTCGACACAAGATATGTGCCATCATTCAGTAGTTCATACTGGGAAACAAAAAAATAGCATTTGCTGTATAGTTTTAATCGATAAACACAATAATTGAAAATTAAAATTATAAATTCAAATATTCTTGTTAATTTCCCGTAAGGTAAGTTATAGTAATCGCAAAAAAATCGAAAATATTTTTTTTATATATCTTTACGTTTCAAAACCTTCTGAACATTTTGGCATACCTTAGAAAAAATGGATGTATGTGTGTGTGTATGTGTGTGTGTGTATGTGTGTGTATGTGTGTGTGTGCGTGTATGTGTGTGTGTTCGGATACAAATTTTCGTCGACGATTTCGGGAACACGGATGAAGCGCTTTGAATAATTTAAAAAACATTCGATTCGTATTGATAAGAAGACGATTAGTTTTTGGCGAAGGCAGGTCTAGCCGTTCCAAAGATATGGTTTTTAAGAGAACGGAGCGCCCGATTTGAATAATTCATAAACCTTTTACTTGTATTAACAAGATGAAGAACTGATTTTCATAAAGGTAGGTCTAGCGGTTTCGGAGATCTAGTAAAAAAAAGGTAAAAAAATGCCACCTGGCGGTCAAAAATGATCATTAGACATATGCACATCAAATTATCAGATATTTTATAGAGATTTTAACAATAAGTATAAATTTTGTTTACATTCTTATGAGTTCCGTACCAATGTTTATCTGTTCGATATTTCGTCTCTATGCAGTTAAAACAGTATGATTGCTTTGAAAAAATGTTCTGAATTTCCAAAATATTTCAAAATAAATTTTTCTTCAAAAATTCTTTTATTTTTCAAAAAAAAGTAAATGTTTGTCAAAAATTTATAGTTTCTCAAATTTTTTCAGAGTAATTTTTTCTCAAAAATGTTAATCTTTTTTTAAAAATAAAAATTTTGGTACGGAAAGTTTCAGTAATTTGCCTTAAGGCACGATGCGATGCGCCCCACTAGTTAAAATTATAATGTTACTTTCATATTTATCAATACTAGATGGATAGTGTTTGTTGTTAATAATATATAATAATCAATAGATCATCAAGTTTACTGTTTTCTGTCAATAAACCAGTTAAAGTCCATTAGTTTCGCCTCAAATATTTTGTGTTAATTTCACTATATAATTAAAATAAAAGGTTTACGTTGACAAATTTTAAAAATCCACAACATAACCTTGAATGTATAATAATGTAAAAATATAGATGTACTAATAGCTAAATTATATAGCAATACATTTTATAAATAGAAATGATTGAAAAAGAGCTATGAATAAGCAGCTATAAAAACTAAAATTGTTTAATGTTTCCAGTGAAATGTGATTGTATTTTTATTTTCAATTTCGCTCAAGTGCCAAAAAGCAGATAATCGTGTCTTCGAACAATGAACAACGAGATAAATTTATTTCCTCTTGGTTAAATTAATTTATCAGAAATAACACAATGAATGATTAATAGACTTTTGTACATCTTGTTTTGCTGTTGAAGGTTGTTTAATATTATAAAATTCCATATATGTAGTTATGCATTAGAAATAAATACGGCATACCGTTTGTTAGAAAAAACGATTTTATGTGCAACGATGCACGATTTTTCGTCAAGATTTTTTTCTAATTTTAGTTGTTACTTGTACTATAAAATAAGTCACCTTTGATGAGAAAATAAAATATGCCCATTGAACAAAAAAAGCTATATAACATGTAAGATCATAAACAAAATGTAATTACACTTTTATAAAATCATTTGGCGCAGTTTAAAAATATATTCTCAAAATTATTTATATATATATATATATATATATATATATATAATATTTATAAATGATTATTATTTATTTATTCAAAATATAAAGATAGAGTTTTCTACATATATATAAAGTATATATTTTAGATTCATAGAATTTGGAAAAAATTGTCAATGACAACTCATAAGCCTATAATATTTTAGGGAATTCGCATTGACTATCAACTTTATCACCAAAGTTTTATCAAAATTCCAGAAGAGTAAACCAAAGGTGGCGCTTGTGAACCGATTTGGATGGTTGGAAAATACAGAAAAATATAGATTTTTTTATGGAATTGTTTTTTTTTATCACATATAATTGGCATATTGTATTTTATATTTATAGCGACGTCTTGTCGCTTTTAAAAAAAAATCAAATCGAAAGAAAATTGCGTCTAGGCGAGTTAACCCGTTTAGGAAGACTTGCGGAGAAAAAACACCTTTTTGGTGTCAGGAAATGAGTAACTTGACATAACATTTATCTAGTTTTTTTAACTTCCCGTAGGGTAACTGATAGTAATCGCAAAAAAATTAAGAATGAAAATTTTTATATATCTTTACGTTTCAAAGGTTTCTGAATATTTTGGCAAACCTTAGAAAAAATGGATGTATGTGTGTGTGTGTGTGCGGATACAAATTTTTGTCGACGATTTCGGGAACACCAATCAACCGATTTGAATAATTCAAAAAACATTGGATTCGTATTGATAAGGATACATGCTAATTAGTTTTTGGCAAAGGCAGGTCTAGCCGTTCCGGACATACGGGGCAAAAAGTGCCAAAACTGGTAACTCAGTTTTTAAGAGAACCGAGCGTCAGATTTTAATGATTCAAAAATCATTTTACTTGTATTGACAAGATAAAAAACTGATTAAATTTTTGGGAAGGCAGGTATAGCGGTTATAGACTCTCAATAAAAATAAGTTAAAAAAATGTTTTTGGGCGGTCAAAAATGATCATTAGACATATGCACATCAAATTATCAGATGTTTTATAGAGATTTTATTCATGTGTACCTATCTTGTGTAAACTTTTTTGGGTTCCGTACCAAGATTTTTAATTTTAAAATTCACGTATATGGTTCAAACAAATGTCCTCGAGATTTTCGACAGTATGCAATAATCGATTTGTATAATTGAAAAATCATTCGGTTCGTACACGATCGCAAGGCGTTTTTGCAAACGGCAATTTTGCCGTTTCGGAGGTAGGAAGCGTAAAGGGTGTAAAAACGGTTATGCAGTTTTTGAGAGAACGGATTATCCGATTATATTAATTCAAAAAACATTTTATTGAGTAGATGGTATGCAAAAACTGCATTTATAGAAAATTTAGTCATTTTGAAAATTTTCAAGAAATTCAAATTTTCGAAATTTTTCATTGTTTTCAAAAAAAACTGAATTTTGAAAAATTAAAAAAAAGACTTCTTACAAAAATTTGAGAATATTTCGAAGATTTCACAAAAAAATCGAATATTTTATAAAATTTCCAAATTCTCAAAACATTTAGAAAAAACTTTTTCTTTAATTTCATTAAAAAAAATTCAAAATTATGAAAAAAATTCTAAATTATCAAAAAAATCAAATTAAAAAAATCTCTTGATAATCTCTTGAGACTCTTGTAAACGTACTATAATCTATTTGGATAATTTATTTGAAATTATTCAAAACAATTATTAACTTCCCGTAGGGCAAGTTATAGTAATCGCAAAAAAATCAAAAATAAAATTTTTTATATATCTTTACGTTTCAAAGGTTTCTGAACATTTTAGCATACCTTAGAAAAAATGAATGTATGTGTGTGTGTGCGTGTATGTGTGTGTGTTCGGATACAAATTTTCGTCGACGATTTCGGGAACACGGATCAACCGATTTAAATAATTCAAAAAACATTCGATTCGTATTGATAAGGAGACGTGCTGATTAGTTTTTGGCGAAAGCAGGTCTAGCCGTTCCAAAGATACGGGGCAAAAAGTGCCGAAAACGGTAACTCAGTTTTTAAGAAAACGGAGCGTCTGATTTTAATAATTCAAGAAGCATTTTACTTGTATTGACAAGATGAAGAACTGATTAAATTTTTGGGTATGCAGGTCTAGCGGTTATGAACTCTCAATAAAAATAAATTAAAAAAATGTCATTTAGCGTCAAAAATGTTTATTGGACATATGTACATCAAATTATCAGGTATTTTATAGAGATTATAATAATGTGTACACATTTTGTGTAAATTTGTTTGGGTTCCGTACCAAGATTTTTACTTACGATACGGGAAGTTCCAGCAATTTGCCTTATAACACGATGCCATGCACCACTAGTTAAATAAATAAATAACAAATGATTCGTCAGGCTCTTTAGTAGCACTGCTACTAGGAAAGTGTGTACGTGGGGAGCGGGTAACCAACACCAGCGCTGGCGCGTACGAGGAGCCGCGTTATACGTACGTTGCCGTGCAACAGGTTCTTCATTCGCGGCCCAACTGTGTGAAAGTGTATAACGAAATCGCGCGTTTGGTGAATTCTGTTCGAAAAAATTTTGATCAATCGATTCAATTTTTTGAAAATATTACAAAAATGCATATACAAGTTTTCGCCGTGTTGTGTGTTCTAGGAGCAACCTATGCACAATCATCGGTATGTAGTAATAGTCAAAAATAGTTAATTTATATGAATGTTTTGTTGTGTTGTGAAGGTACGAGCAGCGTTGTTGGTTTGAAATATATTATTTCAAAGACCAGTTTCTAAACATGTAAAGATTTTAATTGTATACTCGTGTTTAGTAAATAAAACCGTTTTTGTGTTAAAGCGCGCATTTTAAATATTTTAATTAGTCTAGCTGTGGACCGGTTTGCGCGATGGAAATATTGGCCTTTAAAAGATTGCATCTTATAAAAACAATATAACATTTATGTGTGTTTTTTGCGTATAAATATATGAATTAAACATTTTTTACATTTTCTTGCAAAATAATCATGATCATAAGCACAATCATCGGTATGTACTAATAGTAAAAATTAGTCCATTTATATGAATGTTTTGTTGTGATGTGAAGATACAAGCAGCGTTCTTGATTTAAAACCTATTATTTCAAATTTTTTATTACAATCTGTCACACTTAGGACATTCAGTAATTGTTTTGACTTTTCTTATTATATGAATCTTGAATGGATGGCAACCCAGTAGTTGTCCAGTTCAGTTATGACTAATTATCTATACTCGAAGTATTTGCTGACATTTTTATTATGTATTTTTATTATTTATTTTTATATTGCGATTTTCACTTGAGGCTATATTTAAGATCTATAACCTCAAGTGGAAATTTGACATCAAAGTTGCCTGATGCCAGGCTTCAAAATTTGAATATAAATCGACATAAATAAAAATTTATACTATTAATATTCAGGTTTAAATATTTAGTAAATAAAAACATTTTTGTGTTAAGCTTAAAGTGCGCATTTCAAATTTTAATAGTCTAGCTCTAAAAAATTGAATCTTATAAAAACATTATGAAATTTATGTGTGTTTTTGCTATACATATATAAAATAAACTATTTTTTACAATTTTCACTTTTTTTACAATAAACAATATCGCTACAAGTATTAAAACTTTGGACCTTACAAGTAGACTGTGGAACAAAGAAAAACTTACATATTGATATTCAGTGATACATTTAATAGAAAACATGTAAAATTGAATAAAAATTTTACTTAAATAAAACTTAATCTTTGTTAATATCTATTTATTCTTAATAAAATAAAAAAAATCGTTCTGGAAGTAATAAATTTAAAATTTTAAAGCCCAAATAAAATCAGTAGTAATAAATTACTACTGTTGCAGAGTTATTAACGTTTCAACGAGTTTTTAATTTTCAATTTCTATAAATTCAAATATAATAATGAAGAAAATATATTCTTCTACTATAAATGTTTATAGTTAATAATATTTAACTATTATTAATAATTATTATAATTAAAAATATATTTCCATATATGAACAATATGATCAATTTACTGCAGATAGTTTGATCACAAAATACTTAGAGACTATCTGACTGAACTCTACTGAACATCTGAACTATATTTTAACGAAGAATAAAAAATCCTTAAAATTTCAATAAAAATAATATTTTATCTCAAAAATATAATATTGTCAAAAAAATTATAAAAATATTATTATTCAGTACATTTATCAATAATTAGTACGTATAAACGTTATTGAACAAATCAGTAGTTTCAAATAAATAAGTAATTATACTTAATCGAATACCAAAATTAAAAAGATAAATTTAATGTTGTTTTCTCCTAAATTAATAGAAATAGCGTTATAGACCTTTGTCATATAAAATACATATCAATGGATCTGAATTTAATCATTTTGTAAGTCTAAATAAATATTTTATTTAAATTTTGTCTACTCAAAATATATAAAACACTATTGCAGACAAGAATAAAGTTCTATTCACTGATGTATTGCAAAAAATGTAAATTATTCAACAACCTCTTGAGGCATCATCAACCGTTGTATAACAATATAAATTCAATAACTTCTGGTTTGTCCATCATGACAAAAAATAACAAAATTAATAACTTTAATAAGGTGCTATTTGATTTACAATTAATTGTGTCTAATTCTCCATCAATAACTGATTGTTTTTTCTAATACTGTAACTATATATGTAAAGATTATAAAAAAGCAGGTATACATGACGTAAATTAATCATCAAAACAAGTTTCTATATTTACAAATAACTTTTTTTACATCAGTTCCACGAATTCTATACTTTTATTCAACAATGGTATTATGAAATATATTACTAAACTTGGGCATTAATACCTGTAAGTAATATGTAACAATCTCGAAATTCAAGATGGAAAAATCTGCGAAAAAAAAATTACAAACACAATAAGGTTACATTATTAAAGTTATTTAGTATTCATATGTGGAGTCATGTGTGTGTTCTAGTGACGTTAAATTGATGATTTGAACTTGTTCCTGGGTCTCGTTTGTATTTAACGAGTTTCTCATACTCGTTTAGAATCTAGTTGGAATCTTTCAGACAGCAAGAGTGATTTTATGGTCGGAATTTATATAAGACGACCAAAAGGTGATAGAAATTATAGTTATTAGCATTTAAAAATAAAAACATATCTGATTCAGTCCGTGATAAAAAATGAATATATATACATACATTGATTTTCATAACTGATATTTATTAACCACAGGAACGTAATTCGCTTGTAAATATTCTCAGATAATTCTCAGAAAATTCTCAGTACAGAACCCATACTGCTATGAAATATTGATGAAGCCTTATTGAATAATTTATATTGTTCTAAGCCAAAAGCTTGTTGAATAATTTATTTTTTTTGCATTCAATCTGCGACTTGACGTCAAAACTATTAGAACAAATTTCATTTTAGTTTTTTATATGTTTTTAATTCACAATGTTTAAACAAAACAATTAATTAGACATACAAAAAGATTAAATTTCGTCCATTAATATTTATCTTATATGTAAAGTTCTACAAGGTTATTACCTTCTAATTAGAATAAATGTGCTTCACAATGTTTTAGTGTTATCCGCACTCAACAGAGGGTCAACTGTGCTTTATCACTCTTTGTAAAAAACCGATACCCTTATTAAACGCTTAATATTTTTTTATTGTATAATTTTTGTGAAAACGTATTTGTAACTTAGTTGAAAATATATTATATACGTGTATATTATATTTTGTTCTCATTTCATTTACTTTTTTCTACATAATACAATATTATATAAAAAGAGTGCGCGTAAAGTTTACACTCGATTGAAGTAAAACTTGTTTGCTACTGTACAAGATGGCATTTAAGTTATTTTTACTTAAAACATCATGTAACAATTTTCAGTAAAGTTTATTAGTAATATGGTAACACTCGTGATGCATATATTTATTAGTGTCAACCATTATACACATTTATATAATGATAAATTATAAATTATATATCTATAATAGCATTGAAAATATGTATAATATGTAAAAGCAATAATGTAATTAAAGCCATACTTCAAATATGACATGATTGGTTTGTCATTCTAATTAGCATTTAGAAATGAACCTTCATTAGAGAAATGAAGTAATTGCTGATAAATAACTTCTATATTATTCATTCATACAGTGGATTATGTTATGTTTTCGCAACTTCACTCGTCATGTAATAATTGTGTTTGAAGAACTTGTGGAAACAGCTATAATATCTGTTTTGCCTAAAAAATATTTTCCATTTCAATAACTTCAAAGATTTATAGAAACTACGAATAATTTACGGGGGACAGGATAAATAAAATATTTTTCTAATTCAGGCATTTTCATTAAATCAATTTATCTATGCCGATTTCCTTGTTGATATCGGTACGCATACAACGTTGACTCCGGTACGCGATGACTAATCACAATCGGCCCGTATAGAAATGATATCATCGAGAGCGAATGACGAATCTTTGGCACTCGACTCTTATCTTATCTGCCGTAACTCACTTCCGTACGGATTTACACCCTAGTCGCGCCTAAAGAAGTTTTACTTCAATTATATCTAGATTTATTATATATATATATATATATATATATATATATTATATAAATATCATCTAGAATTGAACCTAAGGGTAAATTTACGTGCTACAGTAGGTGGCGCCCCTATGGAGTGCGGTAGCAACTAAAATTGAAGTAATGGCAAAGTGACTGTGTTTGCGATTTAACTATTAGTTTAGAAGTTAACAGCATTCATTTATACATTTTTATTTCATCATAAATTCAAATATAATAACTTACTTATTGATATCTCTATCAATGGGCGCATGATAGTTTAATTAAAGTATTAATTTGCTCCATAACGTATATACTAATTAATAATTATTGGTAATTTTGAACATATTTCTTTATATGTTTAAAATACCAGATACCAGAGTCATATTCTAATAAGACATAAATAAAATAGTTTGCTCATATTAAACAAGAACCAATTTCTTAAGCAGACTCAGTCAATATTATTGTGCAATGTTTAATTTTTTATATAGTAATCCAATGGATATAGTATTCGTCAATAAAATACGAATACGAACTCATTAGATCATATACTTTGTTTTTTATAACTTCGATGATTCTATGACAACTCGAGCTAAAATTTATTAATTTACATAAAAAATCTGATAAAAGTTATTATATGAGTAAAATACTGTAAGAATGCAACGTTTGCATTTTCAAAATTTTAGCGGTCAATTCTATGGTTCTGAATTGACACAGAAAATTCTTTATTGGCGATATATTCCAATGCTGAATTATTATGAGATCTTATTATCATTCATTTATTTTTAAATACGAAGCGGAATTTAAAAAAATGTTATGATATTGTATTCATTGATAAAACACAATTAAAAGTGCATATAAATTTTTCCCAGCGTCTAAATCGTTCTGATATCTAGTACATAATAAAAATTGTTTTGAAATTCTTTCATTTCTTGACTTAGAAATTGTTTTGAGAATATTTTGCAATTGTCTATTTGAAGGAACTAATTAGGTGTTTGTTTTATAAATTCAATATAATATTTTTAGTAAATCTATGACAATTTAAACTATTTTTTTTAATTTATCTACAA